TAGCTTCCAAGCAGAGAATCGATTGAGGTTCACCTGCCATATTAAAGGAAAACTGCACTGATTCTCAACATGAAGCATCTGTAGAATACAGTCAATTACGACAGACCTTATTAGGGACACACGATGATATCAGAGTCATATCTGTATCGGCAGATGATTGCTTTAAAAAAAATGGACAGATGTTTAGATTTGACCTACATTTCAAATCGAAATTTGCTGATGTATTTATTCAACTCCAGAAGAGCGGAATGTTTAGGTGATGCTGGGCTACTGAACAAAATATCCGCATTTTATTAATTCCGTTTTACTCATCTGTAGCGTCGACCAACAAATGGTATGTTTCTCTGTAATGCTAATTCAAGTAAATCTAGTCCCAGATTCTGGATTTTATACCTGTTTTTGTATCTTTATTAGCCGATATCTATGTGAAAAATACTGTAGTGTAATAACAGCTGTACGCAATAAAGGAATGTCAACCTTCTCTGTCTTCATTTTTATCCACAACAATCTAAAATGTGCTCTTATTGGAACATTCAAATAGGAAAACTGGTTGAAATGACTTTCTGGTGGGAACACAAAATATATCGGATATCAGCATTGGCTTAAATTCCACACATCGGTGCATTCCTAACAATAACTCCAGCACGTTCGCTCCGTTTATAGGAATAGAAAACTCACAGAATAGAAAACCATTGACTTAAACCACACTTATGATGGAAGCCAATGGGCAGCAGCTTCCCATTGACTTCCATGCTCAATAGCCCTGGACAATAATTTTGCTGTACTTGGAAATCAGCAGAAAAACTCCTGACTAATAACTACGTTTTAGTCAGTCGTTTTTTCGGCTGATTTCTAAGTACAGTAAAATTATCATCCAGGACAGTTCAGCATTTGCTACAGATGTAGCAGAAAGATCTTAAGATGAAAAATAATGAAGTATTCCATTATTTATTCCTTATTTCTTACCAGGGGAGCCGTTTCTCCAACAAACAACTAATGAATGACTTAAAGGGCCCATATCCCACAATTCTATTGTGATCTATTTTTCCTTCTTAGGTCCACTTATGATGTCTGTGCTTTTATGTACCAACAACAATCATAATTTATTTTTACATGACCCTTTTCTAGCCTTTCCTTATCCCTTGAAATTAAGCAGGCTGTTTTGCTTACTACTGATGTATGTAAATGAGCTGCCCTGCATTGTGGCTCAATGAAAAAGCAGTTTGGGCAGAAACACTCTTTATAACTTCAATGTACACTAGGGATGCATCGATACTGATACTGGTATCGGGTATCGGTCCGATATCTTGCCCATACTAATGTCCGATACCAGCTGATACCATGTTTATATGCTTTTAAGTGCCAACAACAGTCCCAATTCATTTTACATGACTATTTTTTAGCCTCTTCCTATTCCTTAGAACTAAACAGGCTGTTTTGCTTACTGCGCCTGTAAGACAACAAGATATGTAAATGAGCTCTGTTCTGATGGGCAGCCCTGTATTGTGCCTCATTCAGGAAGCAGTCCAGGCTAAAACACTCACTGATAAATTCAGTGTGAAAGGGTGGGGCTAAACTGCCGTAGGCAGAAAAAGGGAATATATGTAAATGTGATGGTTTTCATGACATCACTAAAAACCATGAACTTGAAACAGGCTGTTTCTGCAGCTTAGTTTCCAAATATGGACTGTATGGATCAGAGTATGTTTTGAAACTTTAGCAATGTTTACACTGCTTTTCCATGATATGAGCCAGTTTAAGAAAAAAAACACATCTTCACCAAACCACACATAAGTAAGCCTAACCACACATAAGGTTTAGCCTATTCCACATGACAGCTGGGGAGTGGGGAGTCCTTTACACCAAAGCTGGGACTTCTGGAGTCCAGCACAGTTTGGTGATCTCCCAGTTCAAACACACCTGATTCAACTCAGCAGTTCATTACTAGGTTTACAAAGTGCATGTAAGCAGGAAAATCACCACAAGCTCAGCCTGCAGGACCAGAACTGGGCACCTCTGCTTCACTCAAACAGTGTGCTAAGGCAGAAAAGTTCCTTCAGAGTAAATAACAGCAAGCTATATGTAACACATCACTGTTGTCTGAACAAAATGTCATATATCTTTAACTTTACAGGATCAGGAAAAAACACACCTTACTTTTAATGTAAATCAATGTAAAGCTTTACATATATCAGTCTTAAAGGCATAATGAGTAAAACAGCCTGTTTAAGTCTAAGGGGTAGGGAGAAACCTAAAACCATATAAACTGATATAAGCTGATACGCGATACCAGTATCAGTATCGATGCATCTCTAGTTTACACTAAAATCGTAAAGAGTGCTTCTGCCCAGACTGCTTTTTCATTGAGACACAATGCAGGGCAGCCAATCAGAACACAGCTCATTTACATATATCAGTCTTAAAGGTGAGCAAAACAGCCTGTTTAATTTTTTATTTTTAAGTCATTTTGGTTTGGTTTCCTTTGGTCCATTTATCATGAAATTCAAACACAATGTAAAGGACAACAAGCATTTTCAAATTATCTCAAAAACTGAAAAATGACAAATATGGAGATACGAGGTTTTGTTCCGACAACAGCGATATACTGATGCGACTCCATTATGGGAATAAACTGACCCCACCCACAGATCTACTGAAGAAAAACATTATAAAACATGACACTCGTGCTCTTTGCTATTAAGTGAAATGTTATTGATGACCAAATGCTTTACTGATATAACAGGGACATAAAGTGTGTGGGAAAAACAATGTCAACTGATCAACTAATACAAAATAAATTACGCAGGACTGTTTAAATCCACAGTCGTCTATGTATCAGCTGCAGAGTGAGGACAGCAGATGTAGCTTACATTCTTTCACAAACACAAGATTAATGGGATTTATGCAGTACACTTATATATTCAGTAAGTTGGCAGAAGGTACTGGTGGCCTTTAATTTTGTATTTTTTATTAATTTTTCTAAAATGTAATGAAAGGAAATTGTGCAGATTTTCTGCATAATTCAATCATTACGATGTAAACAAAGTCATTCAGAGTGGACGGTGTGAAATGGTATATTGTAGAGAAGTTTTCCGACTCTGATTTCTTTACAGTGGTGGTGATAGGAACCAGGGGTCACCATGTCTACAACACAAATATAACCATTTTATTTACTATCCAAAACCACCAGAGAACCTACACGTGCATTCTGAGTTTTATAAGTAAAGCTGATGGTCGCAAAAGAGTAGAAAACCTGTAATGATCTGGTTTTTAGGGATACTACTTCACTTTACTTGTGCAGGGACCTCCCTGCCTTTAACTGAAAAAAAATTAATTATACCAAAATCCTCTCAAAACAATGTCTCCGACAGCAAGGCAGCACATTCATAACAGATTTCCTGTAATCACTTCCTGTAAGAGAGGTTTTAGAGGCATTAGACTTACTAGATGTCTGGTTCCCATCACCATCACAGTGATAGGACAACAACTCCAGTAGAGTAAGTGACTCTACAATGGAGGATCTCACACCAAACCACTGCGAATGACTTTGGGAGCATTTTAAAGTTTTAATTATGCAAAACTGTTGGAAAAATGAAGCTCCCCTTTATGCTCAGATGTCACTGTGCACTGAGATTTCTCCATCTCCCTTCCTTGCATCCTCACAGCTCCTTGTTTATTCATCTGTTTATTTACTTACTTATTTAAACTAATGATATTGTTTGTTAAGCTGTCCTGGAAAGTGACTTCAGTTTGCTGCCGCTGGCCTGCAGAAGCCTGGCTGTCTGTGGATGCAGGATCAAAGAGCACAAACGAGGCTGATCCCAAACACCACACTTTAAAGGGGAACCCCACCAATTTTTCAAAAAAACCTATATAATTAAATGGTTGGGATGTAAACATAGCTATTCAAAGTGGTTTGGTGTGAAATGCTCTGCTCTAGAGAAACTTACCGAGTCAGAATTGTTCACAGTGGTGGTGACAGGAACCAGACGTCCACCTCTAAAAGCTCCGTCACAGAAAGTTACTACATGAAATGGTTATGAATTCACTGCCTGATGTCTGAGACACTGTTTTATGACAGTTTTGTGATAAAGTGTTGGCTTAAAATGTATTTTAATCAATTTGTTTTAACCCATTCGTGATGGAGAGGCACATGCAGGGTGTCGTGAGGAAAAATAGTGCCAAAAAACTTCTATTTTCAGCTTTTTCTCTATTTTAACACCATTAACATCATATAAAAACTGAGAAGGCATGTGTAGGTAGTTTTGGACAGTAAATAAAATGGCTATGTTTATGTTGCAGACATGGCAACCCCTGGTTCCTGTCACCACCACAGTAAGTAAATCTTGAGTCTTTACAATCAACCATTTCACATCAAACCACTATGAATAACTCTTTACAACTCGAGGACAGTATTATGCAAATTTTGCTGAAATTTTGGAAAAAACTGGTGGAGTTCCCCTTTAACTCACCAAGCCAAACAGACAGACACACGAGGTCAAGGGGGGGAAACAGAAGTGCTTCAAAATACAGACAAATGAACAGTATGTAATAGTGTCAGTGGACGCACTGACCTCTCATAGCACTCAGCTCAGAGCTGGGAACAAATATTAGAGAGCTGACATGTTGCAAGCTGGTTTAGTCCGACCAAAAACACACTTTCCCCCCACTGTTTTCAAAATCCTAAACCCTACCCCTGCAGGACCCTTAATCTCAGACGAAGCTGAACTCGATTTTTCCCGTTCCACCTTAAATTGTGCAGCAGTTACATTCTGGCGCTTGAGGTTCCACCTTAAATCGAGCAGCAGTTACATTCCAGAAAGTAACTGTTGCACTATTTAAGGCTGAACGGGAGAATTCGAACAAGAAGCTGACTTCAGCACCGTTTAAGGTGGAACTACTTAAGGTGGACCGGGAAAATTCCAACCAGAAGCTGGCGAATAGCAAGCCAACTTTAGCCACGGTAATCTCCCAAAGCCTTTCAGTGTCGCTCCACTCACCTTGCTCTTCACTTCCACCGCATCCAGTTCCAAATGGCGCAAAGGCTGCGATTTATTGAAACTGCGGTTCATTTTGATTCAGAAGCTCAAAAGTTCCCAAACGCAGCTCGCTCTCTCTCTCTTTCTCTCTCGGGTCGGGGCTTATTTCCCACAAAGTTCCCTCAGTGTCCAGCGTCCGGGAACATTTAGTCCTCGGAGAGTGCGCTACGCCGCGGTCCGCAGACTTCAGCAGGAAAATAAAAGTGTGCGGAGGGTAACAAAATCTCACCGCCTCTGTTCGGGGCCGCTCAGTTTAACTTCGCTGAATGACATCACCGCTGTGTCTCTCCATGAACTCGGCCAGACACGGCTCCTCCAACGGGATTTTCCCACCCGTATTCCGGTTGGCCCCGCCTCCGACGCCGTGATTGGCTTTTTCTTTTTGGAGTCCCGCCTCCCTGCGCCGTGATTGGCCAGTTAGTTTACACTCAGCGTCTTCTTTTTCTGCTTCTTCCTCTTCTTTTTCTTCGAAGCCGCTTGCGTCACCATAGCAACCGCAGAAACCGTAAAACGTTTTACTTTTACTTCATTTTTTCCATTTTTTAAATATTTTATTTTTAATTTTCTTTTTTATTTTGTATCAACATCATTTGTAGCAACAGTGTTCATCCAGCACGGAGACCAGCTGTGGAAGCAATAAAAGAGGCATCCAATACTAAGAAAACTACGGAGCCCCGCTGGTGACATACTGTGTAAATAAAAATAGTGCGTGGCCACGACTTAGTAAAGCGTGGGAAAGAGATACTAATGCGTGGCCACGACTAGCCATGATCTCGTTCCCAAGCCTTACTAAGTCGTGGCCATGCATTAGGATTTCGTTCCCACGCGTTAATAAGGCTGGAGTCATCAAGGATGTCGTCATCAGGGCTCTGTAGAACACACAACACGGAAAAACACACGAAAATAACTAAACTAATGGCTACACTCTTAAAAAAAGATGGTTCTCCAAGGGTTCTTTAGTAAAGACCTAGAACCACGAATACTTGAAGAACCATCTGCATGCTTTATGGTTATTTGCATGGGCAAATGGTTCTTCAGATTGATGGAGAATGTGTCGTATATGCTTCTGTATAGCACCAAATAGGGTTCTTCTACTGATACTATGTCAAGCCTATACCAATAGAAAAAACATTTTTGGTGCTATCTAGAACCATTATCAAAAAAAGCTTCATGTAGAACCATATACAGCACATTCTCCAGCAATCTGAAGAACCATTTCCCCATGCAAAGAACCATAAAGCACTCTTGGAGTGTTCATAGTTACTAAAGAACCCTTGAAGAACCATCTTTTTAAGGATTGCTAGAACATTTTACCCAAATATTACTGCTGAGCTTTATCACATGTCTGTGAAGCTCTTTGAGCTGCCACAGGTGTGTAAAGTACTCTATTATTATTATTATTATTGTTATTATTATTATTATTGTTCACCCAGAAAGTAAATTTTCAATGTTTTGCATTTTTAGGACGTTTAACTTCACATTCTAAAGTGTTTAATTTAAAAACTAGTCACTATGAAATGAAGCAAATCTATCTGATCTACAGTGTCAGACTTGCGTATCATTTATCCGCTTTAATGAAACATTAGGTGCAATATTTAGCTGCTTAACTGTCTGATTGGTGGACGGACTGAGTTTGAACTGAGCAGCCAATGAACGAGCAGGAGGCGGGTTTTTTTTTTTTACCAGGTAACGTCATTCCCCCTTCTCTGGTAAACCCCGCCCTCTGTCGCTCATTGGCTACTTAGCTGGCTCCGGTTTTACGGAATGCGGGTGGGAAAAATACAGTTACATTGCAGGCACACTCATCAGCTGCCCCCTGCTGACAACAAGCCGCCACTGCAGTTTATTAAAATGTGTTAACAGCATTATTTGCGTGTTGATAATACGATTACGAATAACTGACGTGGTACATTTTAGGTTGCAGCACTTCAGGCTGTCACTGATTTCATTACAAATGTTTAATAGGAAACAGGAGATGTTAACATGGTGGTACAGAAGTGGGTTTATTACTGTAGCTGAATTGAGGTGGATTGATAAATGATGTCAAATGATAACACTGGGTAGAAGCTGGGTGTACTAAGAAGCTCCACTGCAGCTCTGTGGAGAACAATATGGATTTTTTTTTATCTGTTATATATTTTTTACCAACCTGTTGGCATGAGCCACATCTCTGCTAGGCCCGATAAGCGCGCTCTCATTGGTCTGAGTGAAAGCCACCCACTCAGAGGGGCTGCGCTGTTTGCTCATCAGCTGTTCGGCTTCACTGCATTCTTGCGGTCTGAAGGCGCCAGTTTAACCTTCTCAGCAGGTCTTGCTCTCAACTCAGTTCTTCACAACTTCCAACAAGGTTAGCATTGCTATTAGATCATTACTAGCAATAGTGCATTATTAGTAGGTTAAACTTAGTGCCAGCTCTTCTTATCTGTTCGCTTTGCACGTGTCCAGGTCCAAATTATAATGCATTATAATGCATTAATGTTCAGGCCTAAATAAGCAGTGGCTGCTTGTAGTTTCCCTATTTTCTTTGCTATGCATGTTATATTCCTTCACACTGTGCGCGAACCGCAGTTGTGGAGTAAATACATGCAGTACTCTGCTGCCCACTAGCGGTCGCTAATACTGCTGCAGGTTTACTGAAGCTGATCAATATGCCAAAATCTCTTTCCATGCACTCTGGGAGAAAGGGCGGGGCAAAATGTTTATATTATAGTAATTCATTTGACGTAATACTAAGGTGTTGCAAGAGCATTGCTATGTATCCCAGGTGGTTGCTAAGGTGTTGATAGGCAGTTGCTAGGGTATCCCAGGTGGTTGCTAAAGTGTTGCTTAGCCGTTGCTATTGTAGGTATCACAGGTGGTTGCTAGGGTGGTGCTAGGCCATTGTTATGGTATCCCAGGTGATTGTTAAGGTGTTGCTACATTAAGGTCATTAATTTGACATACCACTACTACTTCTACTATAACTACAACTACTACTACTACTACTAATAACAACAGCAATGGGAATGGAGCTAATGCTAATTCTTATACATCAAGAATAACGTGTATAATAGAAATATTAATGTATATTTTTAAAATGTATTTATTTATTTTTACTATGCAAAGCTGAGCTAAGATTTCATTACTGATAATGTCTGCATTGTTATGATGCGACAATAAATTAAAAACTAAAACTAATGTTCAACCCATTTAACCCCATCATCTCCCAGTTTTTCCTAGCTTTATGAGTACATGAGTGTTACTCCTTGGACAGACCCGTTACACAACAGAATTCTTTTTCAAACGTTGTTTTTAGAAAAGTTTGTGAAGGCACAACTTTTATTCTTGATTACAGTTGAGACCAATTGGAAATTACCAGTTAAAAGCTCATCAGTAAATCAACTAGAAGGGGAAAGTTTGGGACCAAACTGTGACTATAATATCAAGAGATGTTGCTAACATGTGGCTAGAGCATTGCTACAGTGTCCCAGGTGGTTGCTAAGGTGTTGCTAGACAATTGCTATGGTATCCAAGGTGGTTGCTAAGGTGTTGCTAAACAATTGCTATGGTATCCCAGGTGGTTACTAAGGTGTTGCTGGACGATTGCTATGGTATCCCAGGTGGTTGCTAAGGTGTTGCTAGACAATTGCTATGGTATCCCAGGTGGTTGCTAAAGTGTTGCTTAGCCCTTTCTATTGCTATGGTATCCAAGGTGGTTACTAAGGTGTTGCTGGACGATTGCTATGGTATCCCAGGTGGTTGCTAAGGTGTTGCTAGACAATTGCTATGGTTTCCGAGGTGGTTGCTAAAGTGTTGCTGGACAATTGCTATGGTATCCCAGGTGGTTGCTAAAGTGTTGCTTAACCCTTGCTATGGTAGGTATCCAAGGAGGTTGTTAAGGTGTTGCCAAGCAATTGCTATCGTATCCCATGTGGTTGCTAAGGTGGTGCTGGGCCATTGTTATGATATCCCAGGTGGTTTGTTAAGACGTTGCTATTCCACTGCCAATATATTCCAGTTGGTTGCTAAGGGGTTGTTAGGCCATTCCTGTGTTATGCTAGGTGGTTGCTTATACGTATGTGTAGGTATATATGTATGTATATATGTGTGCTAGTATGTGAGTCTGTATGTAGTCTTTATGAGGGGCAGTGTGAGAGGTGTCTTTTGTAACATCATTTGTTGCAGTTAGATTTTAACTTTCTCAAAATTTGTCATTAACTATGAGGAAAAAATAGCATTTAAACAAATGCTGTACAAAAACAAAATGTGTGTTTAGTCTCAAAGGCACAGTATTGCCATATAAACTCTTGATCATGCAAAGTAGTGTGGAATAATAATAATAAGAAGAAGATATTGAAGAACAGTGCGTTGGCTTGACAAAATTAGACTCAGTTATACAAGAAATAAAATAAATAGAAAGTGATAAAAATAACTGAATTGGTAAACAGTACAGCAAGTAAAAAAAACGTATCCTATCCCAGCGGTCTTTGGGTAAAAGGCAGGAAACACCCTTGCTGAATTTAACATATTGGAGAAAAACCCCATAAAATGTGGCCTACAGCACATTTTATACTGTATGTTGTTTTTTTCACTGTAAGTTAAACTCAGCAAATAAACATTAATTGTGCATTGAAATGAGCAGAAGTGTGTTCTCTGTAGAGGATGTGTTCACTTATTTTCACTGACAAAATCAACAAAACATGTAATCTGACCAAGGGTGTTCCAAATTTTGCACGCAACTATATATTATAATACTACTAATGACATATTAACTAATAACATAATAATAATAATTACTCTTACTAATAATATAATAACTACCATAAACCAAAGAATTAATAATAATACAGAGCAGGCTAATCCTGTTGCCCCACCTGTATATGTAGCTGCGCCCCATCATCCTGCAGGATGCTTAATCAGTTCCTACAATGACCACTAGATGTCAGTATTACACCACTGAAAAACATGAATGTGGGCTTCCATAAAGTTTCATGTAGTTCACAGAAGAGCAGCCCAGCTGTGGTCAGGAAGGCCAAGATCAGCATAGTCTTGTGGTCTATCTGCTCAAATCCATCACAGAGCTGGAGACCCACAGCCCTGCACAGTTTCACATTTTCTGTCAAGCCCTTAATCAATCATAGTGCTTTTGCAACAGAAAAGCCTTATCATGCATTAACTTTAACTCTGGTGTTAATTATTCACATATTTACTTACCTAACTCGCAGTTTAAGACGAAGAAAATAAATATGTGTTGCGTAAATCTTTCAAAAGAAACATGCAAACAGCTCCAAATGGAAAAGAATGGTTCTGGAAAGCTGGAAATACCGCTAACT